TATTGTTTCTGACCTATGAACAAAAGAGAAATTGCATTGGTCAAACAGCTCCCTCAACTCCAGGATGTCTTCCAGTACTGTCTCAATATTGATATCCTTACTATTACCTGATATGATTTTCTCTATTAACCCTTTTACTGTCCGACTGGATTTTAAGTCTTCTCCATCCAACTTCCAGTCCCATCAGTAGTGCTTCCCTTAGCTGCTAAGGCTTCTTTAGCGAGGGGCTCACCCCTTTTTAGCTCCTGCAGTGCCCAAACCTTCGGCAAATCCCCTTTTGAATCTCTTGCTACTATTCCTTTTCCTGTTTAGTTCATTTGCACAGCTAAGGATTCTTACATGCAAGTTTTCTTCTAAAAGAATTTAACCAATCCCGTTTTCACCTAAATTTTGCATCAATCAAAGTTTTTCCCAGAGCAGTAAATTATGCCCTTTGTTTTTTCCCAATAACTTGTGCTTTTTGTTTTTCTTCAATAATTTCATTAAACAGGAATTTGGGTGCGAAGCACTCACTCATCAGTCGTCACTATGATTTGTTTTGGCCTATTGGATGCTGCTCACAGGTCATTAGATTCCCTCAACCTAATGCTGTTTGTTTTATTCATGTGGGCAGCACAGTGACTGCCCCAAGTGCCCTCATAATCCCATGTCTGCCAAGAAATCAAATATTTATTAGTCCCAGCAAAGCACATTGATCTACAGTTTAATCTTCCCTAATCATTTAGTAAGACAAAAATCTTGATCTGTATCTACTAGTATAGTTCATTTAACTAGGTGGCAAGAAAGGCTGATCTCTATACCAGGTTCAAGCTACTTGGATTGCGAGGTATATTTGCTGACTCTAATTCATTGACAGAATGGACGAAGCCAATGGATTCAAGACAGATAATTATATTGATTGACCGCTTTAAGCAAGCATAAAACTTTCCTACATTACATCAAGATTTGCGCCGTATAACAAAGCTTGGAAGTGGCCTGCTTAAGCTATTCTATGGATTCAAAACCAATGATAATCCTTACTGTAAACAAATCAGTTCCTTTACTCATCCAAAGCAGAATTTGAACTTATATGCAACCTAGGCCACCTATCAACAGGTGCAAGTAAGCAACCCTTTTACAGATATCAACAGCTAGGCCACCTTGGAGTTCTGAACTGATTGCTTGCAGCTTAGTTTGGGACTAGGTTCATGCCTTGCATTATCAACCTAATTAAGATCCCCACCAACCAATGGGGAAAAGGACTTGAACTAGGCTTAGCTAAGAAGGAATCTGTAGCTATTGCTTGCTCAAAATGGAGAATTTGGGCTTATTAGTCCAAAGCTTGACTAATCTTTGTCATATCAGACGAATGTTTAAACACTAATCCCTGTCAAACATTAAGAAAGTAAAAGATTCTGTTCTGTTATAGATTGCAGGCTTGCAGCTTCATTCCTTTTTTACAAGATATATTGACCTTTTAAGTTTTTCTATATGTGCATCAATCATTGCACATGTCCCTCAATATTCCCTTATCATTTGCGAATCAGATCACCTCACAAACTCCAAGGAAGAAGTAGAGAACAGCAAAGAACTTACAAGCATACCAAGTTGGTAATTAAGTTGGTTAAATTCATTATGCTAGCCATGTGTGAAAAAGGAAAGACGAGCATCTCTATCATCCAAGAACCAACCACCTCAGTAATTTTATACCTCTGCCTCTTTTCTTCTTTCCCTCAAGCACAATGAATTGGATTAGAGTATATTGGGGGCCATGTGTTAGAGGAATCAATTGCAGTCAAACATCAGCCGTTTCTGTTATTAGTTATAGGCTTGGAGTAAAACTCACACCCAGATTCTCCATGTGCTTAACTATGGATGCATCCTCTCTTTCTAGCAGCAACTTGATTCTCCGCCCTCTATATAAACACACATATGTACCAAGGAGAAAGCATATCCTACAAGTAAATATTCTCTGAATATAGATAGTATCTTCATCAAATTCCTTTCATCTTTGGCATTCGTCTGCATTCATCTTAACGCTGATGGCTGAGGTACGTTGGATGAATACCAGATATGAGAGGCTAACTGGCAGTGGTGAAAATATGGCAAGGCCTCGACGATGCTGTTTCAAGAAATTGAATGGGAGGTTCAAAGGGCTCAGACTATCGCGATCCAGAAAGCTGAATTGGAAGCCATTCTCTCTTGTTGTATTGCCAAGAAGAATTGCTGCTATCTATGCTGCTACTGTGAAAAGGATGAAGATGGATGATTTATGCCCTGCAATTATATTCTCTTGCCAATGGGGACTTCCAGTTCTTTCCCATTCCAGTGCTTTTCATTGCAGGAGGAGTGCTTTTTATTCGGATAGGGCACTAGCCTGCTATCAATGACCATTTCTGCAAGGCTGTAACAAATAAATTTTGAGCATCATATTCTTTATCATCTCGATTCTGTGTTTATATATCATCCAATTCTTGCAAAATCACTAGATTATAGACAGAGATCTGAGCAGTAGTATGTTCCAATCGTCCAAAGCATGCAGAGTTGCACATTATCATCCACTTATAGTGATAATTTACAAAATGTCCACATGATCACTAGTAGCTTTTGCTTTTGTTCTGTTCTTATGTAACCAAGAACTCTACTCCAGTCTCCCACATAAACATGGAGATAGAAAGGCTCTTCACCTAAATGTTAATTATGCTACTGAGCTTCATTATATGCGGTGCTCTCATCTCAGAATGCTGTGATGCTACACAAATGTGGAAAAATTACTGGATAAAACGTGCTGCAAAATTGACTCTTCACAAACAAGTTACTTGTTTTCTTAATTAATGAATTCATCGAACTCTTATGCAACTTGCCCATTTGCAGAATCATTTCCAAAACAATTTCGTCAACTTGGTTCAATGATATTTTTGTTTTAAATAAACTAATATTTTCTGTATGGCCAGGTGTTCATAACTTTCTGTACGATTGCATGGACAGATAAACTTAATGTACTTAGCCTCAGCTTGGCCACAATTAGCAGAAGCTACAATAGAAGTAGGCCATGGTCACCTGCTGGCAACAATTTATCATGTACCAACCCCATGACAAATTAATGCATGTATGTACTAAGTCACTGACCCCTTCATTAAGTTGCAAATATTGTGTGACTTGATTGGACACAGAGAAACGTTAACATCCCCTGGTATGATTTCTAATTAATGGGGTGCAGATTATGGACCATCACCACCAACTTTAGCCGATGGGGGGCATTATATGATCTTTAAGGTTAAGGACTCTGTCATCTCCCCATTTATTTCTGAGGCTGTTTCTTGTTTTGGATCATACTATTTTCAGGGTAGTAGTTATTCTTTGGCCTAACGAAATCAGCTTTAGGAGAAAGCTATATGCTTGAGGCTAATTTGGTGTACATTTGCCAAACAAAAAAAAATTCTTGGAAATCAAAGAGTCTATGACAAGAGTAGATGATTGACACAGTTTTTGATGATCAAATGTGGGTTTTAAGATTTTAGGCTAAGGAGGTGTTTGCTTCGTATTCTGGAATCGAATCAGTATTAGAATCATAAAGCTCATTATGAATATGGATTTTCCTTCCTTTAAATGGGTTCTCCCATGTTTCTATAGATAAATATAGTAAGGCCTCTGATGTGCTCTTTGATTGATTAGAGCTTTAAGTAAATCTTTGTTGCCATACAACAACCATACGTAATTATGAAACGTTAGCGCTGCAACGTGCTTGGGCGTGAAAAGAAAAGGTTGAGTATCTGGATTTATGATTTACTTTACAACGTAAATAAGGGTTCAGATCCGTCTGGATTGCTATTTTTAGAAATTTTTATAAAAAAAATATATTATAGCGATTTGATGTACGTAAAGTAAAAAAAAAATTACAAAAAAATGTTTACGAAAAATATAAAAATTTTTCTACAAAAAATCACAATCCAAACAAGTTGAAATCATTAGAAGCATCATCTCTTTGTATGCACAAAAACAAGAATGAATTTAGAAGCATCTATCCAGCTTGAATTGGATCCACTTGTCTGTGGTATATATAGTAGGAAAATAATGAAGTAGCATCCTTTTTGAATGAATTGACACATAACTCAAATTGAAGTTCTGATCAGGAGTTACAACCTTATGACTGAGAAAGCATGATAATATAAAGGTGGCAACAAAATTTGGAGGGATAGAGTCCTCAATCCTGTTCATCTCAGAAACCTAACCAGCTAAATCCTTAGCTGCTAATGATTTTCCTTTAAAAAAAAAATGGTGGGCGGGCCTCGAGAAGATAAGGAACATACTCATGAATTATTCAGGAAGCACAATATGAAAACATGGCAACACAGATATTGTGACTACCCATTTGTTTATAAATTTGTTCATTATGATTGTGTTTATCGCTGATATTTAATATACTCGTACATAATTTGAGTGAGATGTCAGTGTATATACTGTCGGTGTATAAAAGATTAATTCTTTATTAAAATGGACTTTAAGCTCATATGTGAACAGGTATCTCTAGTTTTTTTTTTTTTGGTTGAGATATATATATATATATATATATATATATACATATACATGTGTGTGTGTGTGTAGATTTTATTTGGAGAGGCTGGTTATCTCTGAGAGAGGATACTATAAGTGATCCAAATTGTGTGCCTTTGCTAAAATTCATTTGGGACAGGAGTATAAAATTGGAAAATTTTAGCAACTTAAAATTTGGATCTATTAATAATGTCAGAGTATATTTGGTCCATAAAAAGAAAAAAAGAAAAAGAGTATATATAGAAATAGAATGCCAAATTGTTTACCCCATGTCCATCCCATTTGCCACCTAATATTTGCCTATTGAAATTATACTTTTTTTTTTGGGGAAAATATTGAAATTATACTGGACATGTCTTGGAGCAAAATCTCCAGGTAGCCTAGCATATCATCCCTTCTCAACTTGCAGCCACACAGAAGTACAACATGAAAACAAGAATTGAATACATTAGGTAAGTCGCCATCACTGAATTTAATCAGCTTCTGGATTCTTTTACACACATATCAATAAGACATGTCCAGCTGAACAAGAAACACAAAAATCCTAACTGAGGTCCCATTCAGTAATACAACCAGAGGAATCAGTGTTGTACAATAAAGCTAAATAAACAATTTGAATGTGAACAAGGACATGATCATATCTCTAAATTTGAGATGCTGCTTCTTGCAACTTGTCAACAATTAGGAAAACGACTCTGCCGGCAGCCATTGAGACAATATGGAGTTCACAGAAGGAGTAACAAAGGAATTTACATATCAGCAGTTGAAAAAGAAAAAAGATGCTGAAGAAGTACTCAAAAGATTCACCTGCTTCAGGTCTTGATGATGCTGCTGAAATCTAATTAACATGGTCTTATTAGCATCGAGGGAGTCCATGCAATCCTCCTCTGCAGGCCAATCCAGTCATAAATATCACATAAGATTCTTTAAGGCTAAAATGTGGCTGGAAAAGTCGTCCCATTTTCACCTTGAGATGAACCTTTTTGCCCTTTTTGCTCAAGCATGATGAATTATGCTTGGTTGTGAGTATTCCACCATTTTCCTGATCAATAGTTTCTGGCTCTTCTTCTATGATGGTCGCAAGCTTCATCTTGAGTATTTCCTCAATGTCCATCCTCGATTCAGCCTTCAAACTCTTCTTTCTTGTACCAGGCACCAGTACCCACCACAACATTTTCCTTGATGCTGATCTCCTCATTGATTTTGCTTAGTCTTGATCAACTGTAGTTTGTCACCTTCCAATGCAATCGTAGGCCTTGATGGATATCTACCTTCTTCTTCTCTTCTTTTCCTACTTAACACCAAATTTGATGATGGCCCCTTAATTAAATATATACGGTACTAGTCCTAGAATGGACTTTATGGGTTCATTTAATCATGAGAAAGGGGGAGTAACCAGGAAGGTGGCAGGGTTTTAGTCTTTACATTGTTTGAATAGGTACCTGAAAGAGGTGGTCATGGCTGGGGATTAGGGACAAGGGACTGGTTTAAAAGCTACATGCTTTACATCTTTACAACTTGGAAAGATCATGATAAGTTTTCTTGTTTATTTCTTCCTTTATTTTTTCCCTCAAATTAAGAAGGGATTACCTAACAACCAAACCTGTATCTAATGTAAACCAGACAGCATCATCAGTGGATAATATAATATAAACTTGTTTTGTGAAGCTAAAGATACTTTTAATGAGCATTCACAGGTTTGATTCTCCACTAGTTCCAACCGTTCTTGGTGGAATATATTGATCAGACAAGAGGAAGAAAAAAGAAGAACATTCCTACCAAACAAATATATAAATATATATATATATGTGTGTGTGTGTGGGGATGACTTCTTCCCTTGTCAAGGCAGAATTGAAAAGATGAGAAGTCTGAAAGAAATGCTGGGCAATGCTAGCTTTTAATTGACATATATAAACAAAGAGTTCATAACAGGACGTACATATTTTCCAAGTGTGTGATTGATTTTAGTCACCTTAGATGTGTCAATTTCACTGCCATTCCCCAACATTAGATGTTGAGTAAAGCCAGTTATGAATCTTATGATCTCAACAATACAGAATATTCAAGTGACCTCAACCATCATTATTCTATTACAACAGCAGTTTCTGAAATCTTGAATTCAGTTGGCCCCCGTTTGTGTACTAATTTTTAAATTCAATGTACCAGGCACCATTTCTCGTTCTTTTGTTCTGTGGCAAGAATTTAGTGGACATCCTCTAAGAGGTTTTTGTTTTTCTGAAGGGTCGTTTACTGTAACTGCCCTAGGGCACTCCCAGTCTCCCATCATTGATTCTTTTCCTGCCAATTTAATAACCTACACTTAAAAATACAGACGTTGATTCTATGCTCAATAACCAGTGCTTTTTCTTTTTCACAAGATCCATAACTGACCCACAATGATGGAAGCAATTAAAATTTAGGATAAAATACAAAAAAGCCTCCTGTGATTAAGTAAATCTAAGGAAAAGTTTCTGATGGTTTCAAATTGTATATTTCGACCCCTCATGGTTTGAACTAATTTGAAACAGCAACGGAAATCGTCAAAACTAACGATGCGGATAAAATGACCCTAATATATATAAGCAATAAAAGATCTTTTAACAACTATCATATTAAGCAAACTTACGAAAAAACTCCCTATGGTTACATGTTACTTTTATTTATTTATTTTGTGCATAGGAATAAGTTAAGTTGTATTTGAAAGTTTTTATTTATTTATTTTATGTATAAAAATAAGGCGAGTTTTATTTGAAAATTTTTATTTATTTATTTTATGTATCGAAATAAGGTGAGTTGTATTTGAGAGTTTTGGGTTGTTTTTGAAAATTTTATGAGTTCTAAGAGGTTTAATAGGTATATTAGCTAAAAATTTAAATTAAAAAATAATTTTCCATATCAAGCAACCTCAAACTTGTTAATTTAAATGATTTTTGTTGATTTTCCACATTAATTCAAACCACGAGGCATTGGTTTTTATGATTTGATATCATAAGGGACTTTTTCGGTAGGTTTTCTTAACCACAGGGGGCTTTTTTATATTATAACTCTAAGGATATAATAGACGTATCAACTGAAAATTTGTTTGTTTCCAGTACAAATACTCACAAAAGAAGAGTGTGTATTTTTAACCCGTTAATTCAAACGATTTCCGTTACTTTTTTAAATTAGTTCAAATCATGAGATACCTGAGTGTATGTTTTGAAACCATAGGGGGGTTTTCTATTGTTCGTTTAACCTCAAGAGATTTTTCTATATTTTACCCTAAAATTTATTACGTTACAAGTAATCCAAAAATAGCGAGATAAATAACACATAATTTAAACTCAAATTGAATGAAGTTTGAATCCAAAGCATCTAATTCTTATCACCTCCCTTTACCATGTGTTGCTAAGGGCCTAAGGCTGCTTCAGAAATATTATAAACATTTTGCTATGACAAATATGGAGTTTAAACCGTAATAAGATCATGGATACAGGTCAAAGGTTTTTCAATAACTTCAAGCCTCAGAAGTTACATGAATGATCAAACTCTGTGCAAGTATACTTTAGGAATTAAACTTTATTGTTATTAATGATATGCATGATATTCTTGGACTAGAATATTTTGTAACTAATTGGTTCGACACATTGCGAAGAAATGTTGAGGAACTGTTGAATAATACGTTGAAAACAACAATAGTATGTAAATCCCATAATTCATTTTGTACAGCAATATTCAACTATTTGTTAATCCAAAATGCGCACAGTTACAATTTTGTTGCTTTTGCTGACATTAGTTGCAGAATTGGTTCACTGGCCTTGATTAGGTTAAGTTACAATTTGATCTCTTATCGTTTAGCATTTTTTCACATAATCCCCTTGTGGTTTTAAAATTTATACTTAACCTCTCATAGTTTAGACTAAAGTGTTAAAGTGACGGAGTTTATATTTCATAACGGAATTAATTAAAATATCAAAAGTACTCTTATGCGAAATTGAAAATTATTTATTAATCATAGGGGGGTTATGCATATATCTTGAAAATCATAAGAGGACCATATGATAAATACTAAACCATAAGGGGTTATGTGGTAAAATCTAAAATCATAAGGGGTTGAAGTGTCATGCATATTATGTTTATATATTTTGATCACTTCAGCCATTTTAGTTTTTAAACAAGGGTAATCTAGACATTCCATGAGCTCTGTTATAGAGAATCATTTTCGTCAGTTTGACACTTTATTCCAAATCATAAAGAGTTGAAGTATCATGCATGTTACATTTATATATTTTGATCACTTCAGTCATTTTATTTTTTAAATAAGGATAATCTCAACATTTTCATGAGTTCTGTTACAGATATTCATTTTTACCACTTTAACACTTTAGTTCAAACCATAGGGAGTTTATGTATAATTTTAAAACTATAGGGAGTTATATAAAAAATTGCTAAACTATGGGGGAGTAAAGTGTATTGTACCCTAAATTTTACTGACCAACAATAGATTGAAACTTGTGGCTTAATCTCGCAACTCATAATATATACACACACACATACTTGTACAAGTACAAAAATTTCTAGGTGTCTAACAGTGAAAGTTCTAATTGCATTTCATATGGTCATAATCGGATGACATGAGATACACAACAGGATCTTTCTTTTTTCTTTTTCTTTTTTTTTTGTGGGGAGGGGATGTTTTATGCTACTTTATTTTGTTTCTAATTGTTGAGGATACAATTTTTTTATATAAAAAAGTTTGGATGAGTTCAATTTCAATTATTATTATGGATTTGAACATATGCCTCTAGAACCATAGGTGATTTATAAGGATTCTTACAGATCGTTCACAACACAACTCTCATATCAGAAGACTTTTTGTGATGAAATGATCAGTTCTTATTAATTGAACCAACTTGTACGGTCAAGAATGCAAGTGTTATTAACAAAAATGAAGTGCCTTTGTACTGGTAACAAAAATGAAGTGTTATTACAGGGCAGGATCTTATCAGAATATTCTACTAACATATATTCATCAACTTGCATTCAACTTCACGGGAAGGTTTGGGCTAGAGCCCGATATCATCCTGAATAAACTCCCCCTCCCCCCCCCCCCCCTCCTCTCAACTCTAAATTAATGGAGATCCACTATGTCCATTATTATTATCAAGTTGATCCATAATACATATGTAAAAGTTAAATTTTAAATTTATAAAATTATGATTCATTTAACGCAAACAGTATACATTATCAGTATAAAAAAGATTAATTATTTTTTATTATTTTGTGCCTTAAAGTATTCTGCATACAATTTTGTATTAAAATTTTGAACTTTTGCAAGCAAATAAAAATGATCCAACCTTTTGTCCTTCTAAACCCTTTTTTTAATTTTGTACATTATGTTGTGCATTCGGGGGTTATATAAAACTAGGGATGTATGCGAACCGAACTACTCGCGATTAGCTCGGTCAACGGCTTGGCTCGACCGAGTTCGAGCCGAATTTCGAGTAGCTCGATTAGCGTTCGAGTCGAGTTTCGAGTCTCAAATTTTTGGCTCGAGTCTCAAATTTATAATTTAAATAATATATATGTATTATAATTATAAAATGACTATTATGGGTATAGGTTATACGGAATTTACAATATACTCTTCTTTATAATAAAATTTTATAAGGGTAAAAAAGTAATAACATAATTATAAAAATACCTAAAAAGAAAAAATGTCTAAAAAATGCCTCAGTTTTTTGGTCGAGTCGAGTCAAAAAACTTGATTAGACTCGGCTTGATAAGGCTTGACTAAGCGTCGAGCCTTATCGAGTCGAGTTTCGAACTTAGAGCGAGTACATCGAGTCGAATTTCGAGTATCAATTTTTTTGACTCGATCAAGCTCGAGCGTAGGGATATATGAGTCGAGTCGACTCGATTACATCCCTACATAAATCGTTTCATGCCATATACTCATCAGCTATCAGTAGCTGACAGTGAAGTTCAAGCTCATCGTTATTACTTACTGGGGTCAACCTTATTATTTTTGGGTTATCTTTGGTTGGCGAAGGAATCTGACTCCAGTCCACAAAGTATGATTACCGCAGTAAACTTTTAGACTTAAAATGTCATTTACGACATGGTTTGCCCCACGTGTCATTAACTTCTGGCGAGCAACTATCGTGTGAAGTTCCCCAACCTACTTAAAAAACTCTTGCAGAAAAAACGACAGTAAATTGCAACAAACCCCCCAAAAGTTAAGGTCTTGTTTGGAAAACCATTTTTTTTTAAAAGTTTTTTTCATTTTTCGTAAATATATTTTTATTTTATATACATCAAATCAATATAGTATATTTTTTTATAAAAACTCAAAAAAACTATAGTACAATTGTTTTGTCCGCTAAGAATTTTGTCTGTTTCTAAAATTCAAGTCCATCAATGAGAAATGAGAAAGGGTTGACTAAAGTTTGAATCCAATTCCTACCGTCACCAATATGAGCTTGCAATTCTTGTTTGTTTAATGAATATTTTATATGCTAAATATGTAT